TCAGAGTACAGAAATTTCATTCTACAAAAATCCAAGTTTATATATCATAGGGGGACTGGCTAGTGAGGAATTAAAGTGTGCTTGGATTTGCCTTTCCTGGTGGGTTAGGACAGCTAGTGGTGTATGGAGTGTTAAGGGAGGAGTAGCTAGGAGGTAGAGCCAAGATGGCAGAGTGAAAGCAGTGACTTGCTTGAGGTCTCCCCCAAACTCTTCCAAATACGTATAAAAAATGGCTCTAAACAAATTCTAAAACAGCAGAACCCACAAAAAGATACAGTGAAGCAAATTTCCAGCCAAAGACAACCTGGATGGTTGATCAGAAAGGTATATCGCACAGGGCTGGTAGAGGAGCACAGTGTGGCATGGGACCACAGACCACAGTGAACCTGGAGCAGGTCTCAGAGGACTGAATCTCTGGCAGCTGTGGCAGTTTCCAGACCTCTCAACCCAGGAAAGCCAAAGACAACTTAGAAGGTCAGTGGGAAAAGTCTGTTTCTGCAGTGTGAGAGAGGAGCTAGGTCTCAGAGCCAGTTCCAGAGTACAGAGCACAGAGTGCGGGCCCCTGGGCAGTGGCTGTGTCCTGAGCTTCTGGCCCACAGACTGAGGGCAAATCGAGCAGCTGATCAGAGGAGGATTTCAGGAATCTCTTTTCCAGTGCTGAGGCAAGAATCTCTTGCTTTGCCCGTGCTTGGATCTGGGTCACAGTTCTGGGGTGAGGAGGAGCACTGGAGTGGTGGAGCTTGTAGTGGCTGTGGAGAGAAAACCCTCCTCACTGTTTCAGGTCATTAATAGATTACAGCACAGGCCAGGAAAGGAGTAAACACCTCATCCCTTATCATACCACCTTGCAAGAACTGAAAATTTACAGGTTACTACAAATATCACTGAAAACAGCTGTATGAACCCCTGAAGCTTGGGACAGTACATTCTCCACATTGGAAGCAGACTCTTACCTTAACAAAGAGTTTAAAACTCAAGTAATTGGCCGGGATCATGAGCAAGCAACACAAAAAGAGTTAGACTATATTATCTTACTTTGGTGATAAAGAATATTAAAACATACAACCAGAAGAAGACAACAAAGCCAAAGTTCCTACATCCACAGCCTCCAAGAAAAATATGAATCAGTCCCAAGCCATGGAAGAGCTCAAAAGGGATTTTGAGAAGCAAGTAAGAGAAGTAGAGGAAAAACTGGGAAGAGAAATGAAGTGATGCAAGAAAATCATGAAAAACAAGTCAACAGCTTGCTAAAGGAGACCCAAAAAAATACTAAAGAAAATAGCACCTTAAAAAATAGCCTAACTCAAATGGTAAAAGAGGTCCAAAAAGCCAATGAGGAGAAGAATGCACTAAAAAGAAAAATTGGCCAAATGGAAAAGGAAGTCCAAAAGATTACTGAAGAAAATACTTCCTTAAAAATTAGAATAGAGCAATTGGAAGAGTGACTTTATGAGAAATCAAGACACTGTAAAAAAATCCAAAAGAATGAAAAAATAGAAGAAATGTGAAATATCTCATTGGAAAAACAACTTACCTGGAAAATAGATCCAGGAGAAGAGAATTTTAAAATTATTGGACTATCTGAAAGCCATGATCAAAAAAAGAGCCTAGACATCATCTTTCAAGAAATTATCAAGGAAAACTGCCTGATATTTTAGAACCAGAGGGCAAAATAGAAATTGAAAGAATCCACTGATCTCCTGAAAGAGATCCCCAAAGGAAAACTCCTAGGAATATTGTAGCCAAATTCCAGAGTTCCCAGGTCAAGGAGAAAATATTACAAGCTGCCAGAAAGAAACAATTAAAGTATCGCAGAAACACAATCAGGATAACACAAGATTTGGCAGCTTCTACATTAAACTGAAGGGCATGGAATATAATATTCCAGAGGGCAAAGGAGATAGGATTACAACCAAGAATCACCTACCCAGCAAAACTGAGTATAATCCTTCAGGGGAAAAAATGGTCATTCAGTGAAATAGAGGACTTTCAAGCATTCTTGATGAAAAGACCAGAGCTGAATAGAAAATTTGACTTTCAAATACAAGACTCAAGTGGAACATGAAGAGGTAAACAGGAAAGAGAAATCATAAGAGACTTGTTAAGGTTGAACTGTTTACATTCCTGCATAGAAAGATGATATTTATAACTCATGAGATCTTTGTCAGTATTAGGGTAGTTGGAGGGGGAAAAATTATATGTATGTATATGTATATGTATATGTATATGTATATGTATATGTATATGTATATGTATATGTATATGTATATCTATATATGTATATATATGTATATCTATATCTATATCTATATCTATATCTATACACACACACGCAGATAGATATAGATAGAAAGATGGATAGATAGAGGGCACAGGGTGAATTGAAGATTAAGGGGTTGTATCTGGAGAATAAAATTAATGGATGAGAGAGGATTATACTAGGAGAAGAAGAAATGGAGAGGTAGAATGTGGTAAATTATCTCACAAAAAAAAACAGAAAAGAAAAGGCTCTTATAGTGGAGGAGAAACGGGGGAAGATGAGAGGGAATGAGTGAATCTTATTCTCATAGGATTGGCCTAAGGAGGTAATAACACACACATTTAATTGGGTATGGAAATCTGTTTTACCCTACAGGAAAATAGGAGGAGAAGGGGAGAAGAGAGCAGGGGAATGATAGAGAGGAGGGCAGATTGGGAAAGGGGGTAATCAGAAGCAAATACTTCTGAGGAGGGACAGGGTCAAAAGAAAGAATAGAATAAATTGGGAGGCAGGATAGGATTAAGGGAAATAGAGTTAGTTTTTCACAACATGTTTACTATGGAAGTGTTTTGGGTAACTGCACATGTATGGACTGTATTGAGTTGCTTGCCTTTTCAGTGAGGGTGGGTGGGGAGGGAGGAAGGGAGAAAATTTGGAACCCAAAGTTTTAAAACCACATTTAAAAAAAATGTTTTCACATGCAACTAGGAAATAAGAAATACAGGAAATGGGGTACAGAAGTCTATCCTGTCCTACAGGAAAATAGAAGGGGAAGGGGATAAGAGAAGGGGGGAAGAAATAGAAGAGAGGGCAGAACTAGGGGAAGGGGTATTCAGAATGCATGCCATCTTGGGGTGGGGGGAGGGGTGAGATGGGGTGAAAATTTGAAACTCAAAATCTTGTGGAAATAAATGTTGAAAACTAAAAATAAATTTATATTAAGGGAGGAGTAACACCTCTGGTTTGAAGGCTTGCAAAGTCCTTTTCAGGGTTGCTCATCTACCTTTGGTGCCTATCTCTCACCCAGCTTTCCCCTGTGGCTCCAAGAAGCTGTAGTATGTGCAGTGGCCACATCCTGGTAAAACTGTCTCAGCAGATGGGCTAAACCAAGTTGAGGGTAACTGACAGACCTAAAACCCATGGATGAGTTAGAGGGATGTCTACCCTAGCCTTGTGAAGACTGGCCCTGGCAGAATGGGAAGATGAGAACAATTTGTTCCAATGGCTGTGAAGGCAGCTGAAGCAGATGCTGTGGAGGCTCAGAGCTTGGTCAGACACCAAAGGGCATCCACTACATCCTGAGCCATTACCAGTCATCCTGACTTGTGTCCTGCTGCTCATTGACCCTGGAAGAGACAATGAGGCTGCTGACTTAGTACAACTCTGCCTCACTGAAATCTAATTCACTCAAAAGTCAAGACATCACTCTGTGACATCATTGGTCTCTTTCAAAACAAAGGATGAAAAACAACAAGAAGAGTTAGGTGATGCAATGGATGGAGCACCAGATCTAGAGCTAGGAAGCTCTGAGTACAAATCTGGCCTCACACATTTACCAGCTGTGTTTCCCTGGGCAAGTCACTTAACTTCTGTTTTCTTCAGTTTCCTCATCTGTAAAATGGGGATAACAATAGTCCTACCTCCCAGGGTTGTTGTAAGAATCAAAGGAGAGAGGCAGCTAGGTGGCGCAGTGGATACAGCTCCTCAGACACTTGTAACTTACTAGTTATGTGATCCTCGGCACGTCACTTAACCCCCATTGCCTCACCAAAAAGCAAAAAAAAAAAAAAGAATCAAAGGAGATGATCATTGTGAAGAGCTTAGCATAGGGCCCAACACATAGTAAATGCTATATAAATGCTGGCTATTAGTATTATTATTATTATATAGAGCGTGCATAGAAATTCCCTACCTAGTTCTAATCCAAATGATGGACTTTGAAAATTTGTGTCTGGTCACATGGGACCAAGGGGCTGGTACTGTGTTATGACAAAAACCTAACTAGCTGTGAAGCTGGAAGAACTAATGACTTTAAAACTGAGTCTGCCTACAAAAGGGTGGACCTGCTCTTGTCTCAGCCTCTTTTCCTTCCAGGTTGTAGGTAAAGCAAAGGCTACCATGAGCAGCATCCAGGCTGCGTTCCCTGACCTGGATTCCATTTGTCCAAGGGCGCCTGGTGCCTTTTTATCCTTTGTGTTTATTCTTCTCTAATCTCAGGTGAATGAGTATGCTGAGATGGGAGTGGCCAGGCAATCTCGTGCATTCAGGAGGTCCTAAGGTGCCATCAAATGCCCCTTGGCCATAGATGGCATGTTCCTCTTTCTCCAGCACTTGGGAAGGAGGCTAGAGTAGCCACGGGACCAAGAGTAGCCAATGACAAGAGGAATCATCTGCAGCTGAATGTATGAAAACAGTCACCTGAGGAAGGTGATGATTTCAGGGCTTGTGACTCCTCATGTCAGAGAGAAGTATAGCCTCTTTAATGTAGTCTGAGAAGGTTATCTGTTTAAGGTGGAAAGGTCTATCTACTGAACTACTAGGAGAGGAGAGAGGTTCCTACTCCCTCTACTCTGGCCTTCGCCCTTGGAATATAGACTTCATCTGTTTTGTCCAACCACTCCCTTTCTCTTTTTATTTTTAATTTATTTTAATTAAAAAATCTTAAAATCAGTAAGATTCTCTTCCAGAGCCCTCAGTTAGGGAGAAAAAATTTCCCCCTCCACCAACAAAGTCAGTCATGGAAGGTCTGTGCTCTTTATTTTCCTCCCCACCCACGTAATGTGCTAACCACTGTTCCTCCCAGTTTTACATCTTGCTGGTCACAAATAATGCAGCATATAAGGCAGGGCAGTTCTGATCAAATATTTATCTGAGACAGGATTAGTACTAATTAAAACAGAGATGGAAAAAACTTTAAACAATGTGAAAATCTTTGGATTTAACCTATATTGTCTTGTGCAGCAAATAGGAGGTGGTAGGAACTTCACCAAGTAGGACCTACTCTCCCATATAGAAATTCTGCAATGACCAGAGGCTCAGACATTTACACCATCCCATGTGGTCGTCAATGTTTTGGGTGTCTGAGGCATACAGAGCTCAAGTAATAGCCACATGCCAGTCATGACCTGTCAACAATTCCAGACTCTTCTTTCCACAGGCCCCACAGGTGGTACAAATTCTTATTCCATTTTTCTCTTCTTTTTCTCTGGAATCATCTAGTCAATCTTGAATGAGCAATGTGCCAGGAGAGTTCTCATACACTCATGTCCTGCTTCTTCTCTTCAAGGACTTGGGAGTGGGGGGTGGGGAAGAGGAGATAGAAATTTAAAAGGATAAGAAAAAGGTGAAATAAACAGTATTTTAAAATAACTTGTATTATATTTAATGATACAAAATCCTTCCTGCTGTTACTAAAATACAACTGATAGTGCTGCTCATTATTGTTAATTCCAATATTTTTAGTGAGACCAATGTGATTGAATGTACTTTTTTATTTTTAAAAATCTTAGTTTAATACAGTGGTTTTTAAATATGGTTCTAAATTCAATTCAGCATATTGTCATCAAAGAAACTCATCTGCACACTTAAAAAAACTTGAAAACAGGATTTTTAACCATTTAAAAACTGTCCACTTGGAATGTCAGTGAGTTTTGAACTCATTTGTCAAAAATTAAAAAAAAATCAATACCTTTTTAATAGCAAGAACAGAGAACTGATCAACATCAGGGAAGATGGAAATTTATTAGCTGAATTTCAGCAAAAACTTTTGCATAATTGGTGGATGCTATTTGAAAAATGAGAATCACGATTTAGTAAGCTCAGCTACCAATACAAGAGGTCCAGGTTCTTATTCATAGGCCAGTAGTGTCAGCAGGCAGACTCAGACAGATGACACCACCACCACAACCAATTGTACACTAGTGAGATGATACAAGGTGAGGAGGAGGGGTCTGGGGGTGGAAATGTTGGCATTTGGAATGGGAGAAGTTTTCCTAATGGTGTCTGTTTAGTTGCTAGTGGTGCTGATGGGGTGCTTGGGTGCTTGTGCTTGTACTTGGACCCCAATTTCTCCCTGGTCTCAGAAACACTGTCTCTGACAATCACTTCCCAGCCCAAGCACACTGTGCCTAGCAATTATTCTTGTGTGGGCCCCAGCAAGACCCTTATCTCTCTTCCTGGTGCAGCTACACAAAGCTGAGGGAGAGAGTGCTGGACTGCTCAGGCCCCAGCCCTCAGATCACGTCTCTGGAAGCCTCCCAATTCCTTAGTAAGTTCCTGTCTTGTGAGAAAGCTTTCTCTTGTTGCAGCGAATTCTCTCATCAAGACAGAGAAAGAGGGGTGCCTTGCCCAGCCCAAGGAGTTTTGTCCTTGGCTGGCCCAATTACTCTTCCTTCTGCCAGACTTCCAAGATCCATACCTCTGTCATCTCCCTCCCTGTCTGGTATACTCTCTGTACTTTCCCATCCATAGCTCCCAAAGACACCTGGACCTTCAGATTACCTAATCAGTATCCCTGGCATTCCTTTCCCATGCCCTTTTCCATATAAACCCTAGCTCCATTCTCAGTCTCTTGCAGGTTCCTTAAGAATCCTTGCCAGCTGAAAAGCATAACAATAAACTTTTTGCCAACTTGACTTAAAGAATGCTTGAGTCTGTGAATTCATTCTAGAAGACCCTGTCCTGTATTCTAGCCTTTGACTGCAACAGTGCCTAGGTTCATGATTATCATTGTGCCAAACCCACTACTTGCCCCCCCCCAAAAAAAAAGGAGATGTTGGGAATTTGCACAGCGCTTTGTATCAGAGACAGGAGGGGGCAGAATGGAATTGTTCAGTTTCAATTATGTCCGACTCTTCGTGACCCCATTTGGGGTTTCCTTGGCAGAGATACTGGAGTAGTTTGCCTTTTCCTTCTCCAGATCATTTTACAGATGAGAAAATGGAGGCAACTAGGGTTAAGTGACTAGCCCATGATCACGAGAAGTGTTTGAAGCTAGATTTGAACTCAGAAAGATGAGTCTGACTTCATGCCTGGAACTCTATCCACTGTGATACCTTGCTACCCTAGAATGTAATAGGACTGGGTGGGTGAAGGGATTGGTGGGTTTATATTTGAGACAAATACTGCAATTGTTTTGATGATTATTAGTTGTAGCAATATTAAAACTTTGACTAATAATAACCATCAATTATATAGCGCTTTAAGGTTTGCAAAGCACTTTACTGATATTATCTTACTTTATCCTTACAACAACCCTGGCAGATAGGTGCTATTATTATCCCATTTTACAGATAAGGAAATCAGACAGAGGTCAAGTGACATGCCCAGGGTCACATAGCTAGTGTCTGAGGTGGATCTGAATTCTGGTCTTCGCGGCTCTAGGTCTAACATTATAGCTAGGTGCCTCCAATTGGCTATTGCACCAAGGATGAGCTGCAACCCATCTTCTGATTGATTTGTTTTATACTACTTTTAGTGCTATTACCACCATCACAGATAATCGCATGTACCCCTTAGGGTGTGCCCCCTTTGGAGACCACAGGTAAAGGGAGCTCCTGGTGAACAAACTCTATCAATACAAATCAACAACTATTTCCAATTTATAGTCTTTGAAAGCTGCCTGGGATACTAGGAGCTTAAATTCCTTCCCAGGGGTCAAGCAGCAAGTAAGAGTCAAGAGATAGGAGTTGAACCCAGGTCTTCCTGACTCTGAGGCCTGCTTTCTATCGGTCATGCTACTCTGTCCCTCACCATAAAAGACAAATGAAGCCATTTTAATTTTATAAATTAAGAAAACATTCACACAAAATCATTTCAATTAAAATTAAAAGAAAATATATGGAATAGGGAAATATTTGAATTATATGTCTCTGATAAAACATTGATGCACAAAATGTGAATTTGCTTTGCTTGAGTATGTTTATTTGCTATAAGAATTGGGTTTTTCTTTCTTTAATGGGGGAAGGAATTGGGAGTGGATTTTATAGTGAGAGAAGAAGCCAAAAAAAAAGATAATATTCTAGAGAAAAAGAAACTTTTGAAGCATTTTTTTAAAATGCATGGAAGAAAACAGAAGGAAGTGCAGAAAGAGACTTATGTAACCAAGACAGCTTTGAAAGTCACATGTTGTGAGGCAGCTAGGTGGCACAGTGAATAGAGTACCGGCCCTGGAGTCAAGAAGACCTGAGTTTAAATATGACCTCAGGCACTTAACTCTTACTAGATGTGTGACCCTGCGCAAGCCACTTAACCCCAATTGCTTCACCTTCCCCCCAAAAAAGATAGTAACATATTTTTCTGTTCTACTTTGTATATGGAAATATTTTCTTTTTATTTTTTAGATATTCATTAACTTGAGAAAAAATAAATTTAATAAAAATAAAATAAAAGGCAGCTAGGTGGCTCAGTGGATAGAGTGGGGGGCATGGAATCAGGAAGACCTGGGTTCAAATCTAGCCTCAGACACTTACTAGCTATGTGACCCTGGGCTTAATCCTATTTGCCTTAATGAAGGTGAAGGAAATGACAAACCACTCAATATCTTTGCCAAGAAATCCCATGGACAATAAGGTCCATGGGGTCACAAAGAGTCAGACAAGACTGAACAACAAAAAACAATAGCAATGAGGCAACCAAGAGAAATTTTGGGGACATAATTAACAAAGTCCTGAGAAGAAAAATTTTGTGTTAGCAAAAGAGAAATAGATGATTCATGAACATAATATATTATTTTTAAAAAATAGAAAATCAACAAATAAACCAAAAATAAGTACAAAAAAGGAAATTTTGAGTGAGATGAGAATTAGGTAAAATGGGACACAATCAACAATAGAAATTGTAAACAAGTTTAAAAGTAATTTATTTGAAAACTAATAAAAGTAATTAACCATAAGCTAATCTGATAAAAAAAAAAGACAGAGGAAAATAAAAAATGAACAAAATGAAATCATAAAACATAGAGAAGTTTTTAAAAATGATCAGTGCCCTCTACATATAATTATATCATAGCAAAATAAGATTTAAAGGAAACGGTGATTATTTACAAGACACAAATACGTCAATTTAAAAAAAATCAAATAGAGATTTTAAATGAAAAAATCCTAAAAAATGAAATTGAATAAGCTATAATGGAAAATACTCTCTGGTCCAGATGGATTTACAGGTGAATCTTTTCTGATATTTAAAGAACAATTAATACCTATGTTATACCAAATATCACCAAAAATGGTGAAAGAAAAAACTCTACTGAACTCTTCTCTTTGACAAATATGGTCAAAATGCTAAATCAGTGAGAGATAAAACAAAGAAAGACAATTGTAGAGTGATATTGGAGTAGGAACAGCAAAGCCCTATTTTTCCCCCAGAGCAGTGAGGCCCCATCCTTTCCTAATATCCTGATTAGCAACCCTTTCCCCTGTATTCTTAACCTTATATGCTGAGCAGAAAACTATTTCCCCCCTGTGCTGAATAGGCAACCTCACCATTCCATAGCCCACCCTATCACCAGCGACCTTGTGGTCTAGAGACCTTCAGCCTACCCTATCACCAGTGACCTTGTGGTCAAGGGACTTTCCCAAGACTGTGCAAGCTCAATAAGACTCCTCAATGCCCGATAGTAACTTACGTGATGTCAAAGTCCCCATTTACATCTTATGAATTTGATAATGAAGGGACTCTTGAGAGTGAAAGTATAGCTATTTCAAGATAGCCACTTGGAAGACCCAGTAAAGTGCAGGCACAAGACTTTTTTTGCTTGTGTAGCACAAAGATTATGCCATAGCAAATTCCCATAAGTCACTCCCCCTTCACCTCTGATATAAGCAATTCCCCATTCCCCTTCCACTCAACCAACCAGTATCCTGAGCTGCTTGGTTTCGTTTGCTTTTACGACAATAAAGCCCTGCTTGGAAGGACTCTTGCTTTGGTATTCTTACCAACTCCAAACCAGCTCTCCCACTGCAATATCACTGATAAATATTGATAGGAAAATATTAAACAAAATATTAGCAAAAACACTATAGCTTTGTATACAAAAATTTATTCACTCTAACCAAATCAGATTTATTCCACAGATTCAAGGGGAGGGTCTATTATTAGGCAAATAATTAAAACAATTCATCACATTAAAACAAAAGGTAAGAAATTGCATGATTTATCAACAGATGCAGGAAAAGCCTTCAACAAAGTATGGTACTAATTTTTTCTAAAACCCTGCAAAGTAGAGGCACAGAAAAACCATTCATTTCAATATGATAACATACATTGAAAAATAAGAATAAATATACATA